GGAATATATCTCACCCAGTAAGTTCGCTTTCCTTGTGGCAGAGATGTCACTTTTAACAGCAGCTTCCAAGTCCTACTCCTAGCAAAGCCTTCAGAGAGCCTTCTGATCACTACACAGATCACAGCCAGATGGTAATCTCAGGCCTTCCTATATATTTACCTTCAGTTAGAGATTCTGGTGAAAGACTGATGACATTTGACAGAACAGGAAGAAGGTACCGAGCACTCTGACCTTCAGGCAATCTTCTTTCGAGGATTTTTACAATACGCTGCCCTACAGCAGACACTTCAGCCTTATTTCCCTTAAAAATAAAGCAGAGGTAAAGCTAGGTAGATAACCATCTACTAGTGCTAGAGACCAGTATCATACAAATTCTTACATCAGGCATCAATATCATTGTCAAACATAAAAAGAACTCACAGCACAGGCTATTTTACCACATTTTACAGAGATCTTCTGCAATGTGAATTCACAGATCACAGGAGGACAGAGTACTTTGATGGAGCAACAGGTTTGTGGACAACCATCACCTGAAGTGGAAATTAAAAACTGCAATGGATGTCTTCAATTAAATGCTATGATCCATCAATTCCAGAGCAGAGAGTACTAGCACTAACTACTCCCCATGTTGTTGGTTTCCTAGCTCAATTGTTAAATTGGAAATTTGTGAAGAGAAAATGAGCTGTTGTAACATGTCCTAGGACTCTCTGGTTAGTCCATATCCTCACAACATGGAAAATAAAGCAGCTTCCTTGTTCGGAGGCTGTTATAGCTGTGGCTCTGAGATGCTGTCAAACCCTTCTGTCCAAGGCAACTTTGATAAAGACAACAGGTGGACCCACACTTCTGACAGGTTTTCTTGCTCCATGAATGTCATCAGGTCAACAAAAAGTAAACCTTCTCTGCTGCTCAGGGTCTTTGACAGCTGTCTGCTGAAGGCAGTGAACAAACACCAATCTCTGACACCCCCCATCTAATAGTCAGATTTGTACCAGAACACTAGAAGGAATTAGGAAATTGCTGGTGAGCTTCCAGTGAGGAAGTTCATGAGGTAACTTCACCCATGACTGGGTCTAATTTCTGTGCTTCTTTCATGAATAGACGTGAATAAATCAACCAAAGCAACATATAGACAAGGAAGTTTAAGGTGTGGGGTGGGGATCTGTGCAGTGAAGGAAAATGGAAGAGACAACCCCACTCCTCCCACAGATACATTGCTGCAGCCCACTGCAAATAATGGGGCTGCTTATGTGTGTTGCTGACACATCTCTTGTCGCTCAGATGAAAACCTGCCTGAGCTCAAATCAGCGGTGGGTTTCCAGCTCCTAATGCAATACCAGGGGCTGTGTCTTCTGGCAAGTCAAAAGCTTTACAAAAAGAACATCAGCTTTGCAGAGCCAAGTGGGTTTGGGGGGCAAAGAGGAGGAGGATGGTTCCTACTCAAAGTAGTGACAAATGAAAATATGCAGATGTTTTTAAAGGCTCTGTTGAAGCATGGCTGCTTTCATGAGTGAGGCTGCTGCTTCACTGCACCCCATGTTAGAGAAGTGATACTGAAATAGCTAAAATATAGTAAGTTTTAGTAACGTCAAAAATTGACGTTACTGGTTTTAGTTGTAATCTAATGAAAATTAACACACAGGGTATGTTCTTACATTGTAGAACCGCAGGACAGTCTCAAGGCTGGATATGGGAGAGTGGTGCTTTGTAAGGCAGCACATAAGTAATACACCACTGTTTTCTGTTTCTGTCTTTTAATTTCCTCTAGCTAAGTAAGACTCAGAAGAACAATCAGAAACGTAGGAGGCATTTCTAAGCACTCAGTGAAACTCAGTTCAGAAAAATATTTCCTCTTTAATAGGCACAATAGTAAAAGAAGTAGAAGAAGAGAAAGTTTCCAGCTTATTCCCCAGAGGGCAGTCCATGCAGGCAGCACTCACAACAGGAAGGTCCTCATGTTTTCTTCTCCATTGAGAATCTAGATCTTAGAAGTGCCATCCCTATTTATAGCCCTACATGTTTTATAGGTTCTGTGTATATTTTTTTACATCTGAACACGAAAGCCAGTATCATAAAAAGCTGGAGTAATAAATTCGCTCTCAAATCTTTTGCTCTATAGGTTCAAACAGCCCTGACTTGAAGTCTATTACAGCAACCAGCACTAAATTGTTCGGTTTTGCTTCCAGTTAGTTACAAGCCTGCTTGAGGTCCTCAGTCTCTACACATTGCAATTTTAAGCAGTCTTTGTTATCAAATACTAAACACCAAAAAAGTTGCCATTTTTTCCTACACACAGTAGAATAATTATGTTCCTTAAATTAACATGGAGACGCATCTCCTTTTTTCCTAGATACTCAGCAAACAGGGAACAATCAGAAAGCAAATGCATATTGACAAGGGAAGATTTCTGACTTGACAGGTCATTTACCTGCGCCAAAAGGATGGAGGATACCAGGCTCAAGAGCTTTGTATCTTGAATCTCATCACAGGAGAGGGTCAGATCATTGCAAGGTGACATCTCTCTCAGGATGGCAGCACACAGCATCTGAATCTGCTCAGGGCACTTGGACGAGCACAGCACTGTCTGCAACAGTTCCACAAACTTGCCATCTAGCCTGCAAGAGTCACAATAAAGCATCACTGCAAGGCAAGAAAAGATTCAGACATTTATTTCCTACATGCTCTTGGGATGATCTCCCTTGACAGTGACCCCAACTATTGCCATCTTATTATCTTCACTTCTCAATTTGGTTTCTTAGTGCGGCTCGAAAGAGTGCTCAGTAACAAAAACGCTTGTTACTGCAAACGGAGGTAGGCACCTTCTGCTTAGCAATGGGGGAAAAATGGCAAAGAAGGGCTTTATGTATATATCGAACCCAGCGTTTTCAAAACAGGGCGTTTTTTTAAGGCACCAAGCCCTCTCCCTCCCCGCCTTTTTTTTTTTGGTCGAGAAAGTAACGCTTCGCTTGTTGCGAACATCAGAGAGACAAGGCCACTCACCTGCGGGGGTACTTGGTGGCGGCGACGGTGAGGTGCAGCCGCTGCAGCCCGTCCGCGGCCTCGGGGCCCAGCTCCGGGGCCTGCAGGAGGGCGGCGACGCGGGCGGCGAATCTCCGCAGCTCTTCCTCCCGGATCTCCCTGGCCGAGGGCGAGGGGGGCAGCGGCTCTCAGGTTCCCCGGCCGCGGCCCCTCCGCTGGGGACCACTTCGGAGCCCCGGGGCTGGCGGGGTGCCCCCACCACCCAGGGGAGACACCGCCGAGGCCCGCCCCCCTCCCCTCAGCCCCGGCCCGCCCCAAGGGAGCTCTGCCGCCCTCCCCCGGCACCCCAGCCCCTACCCAGAGCTGCCAGCACCCCTCCCGGTATCCCGGCCCCCCCGGTACCGCGCCTGCTTGAGGAAGCTCTCGGCAGCCGCCGTGAACATGCCGGATGCTCCACAGTCGTCCAGCCCCCGCCTCGGTACGCGGCCAAAGCGGCCCCCCGGAGGCGGGCGGTCCGCTCGGGGCTGCTCCGGGCGGACGCCGCTGCTGTTGCACGAACGTTCCGCCTGGCGGGGCGGTTCCCGGGGCACGGCTGGTCCTGCCCTGGGGAAACCGGAGCGGAGGGAAGAAGGGGTAACGGCCAAGTCCTCTCTCTTGGCTGGTCATTGATTATTTCGAGGTGCTGCTGCTCTTATTCTCCACCTCGGGAGGCCGAGGTGGAGCCTGGCTCTCGGGGCTCAAACCTCAGGGAAACATCACTGCAGGGCAGAGACAGGGCTGAGTTTGGGGTTTTGAGAAAGTGACAATAAAAGATGTGATATTAGCTTTTCCTGGAACCTGTTCAAATCCCTGTGCTTTCTAAAGAGAGCAAGATGTATTAAAAAAGAGCTGCTCATCAGGTGGTCTTCAGAGCCTCCAAAAAGTTAAAAAGGCATTTACATTTCCTTATTAGAAACGTCTCTCCTGACTGCTAATGTCTGAAGCTCTCACTGCCTTGCTGTGCAGCACCCTGGGGGAAGATGTCAGGAGAGGAAGCTTGGCACTTTGCTCTTTGATACTTCTCTGCCTTGTGCTCCCCTGGCATTAAAGTTCATGAACAGCATGCCTTGGCACCTACCTGTTTGCCCTCCGAAGACGAAGACACAGCAGCATCCGCCACCCCAGCTGTTAACAGTCAGAGCTACTGCAGGCAGCAGGCTGACACCCAGAGGGGGACAAGCAGGAGCATTCAGATTTTTCCCTGCACACCTTCTCTTACACGTGCCCAATGCACATGTGGAGCCAAAGATGTGACAATTTTAAAAGATGCAAAAAAAAAAAAAAAAAAAAAAGCTCTGGCCGAATACCTTCACTATACTCTGTAAAATTTTTATTTTTTAAAAAACATTAGTCAAATACAGCTATGTTATGTCAGCTGAGGCCTTAAAAGATACTCCTATTCAGTTCTGGAGCTCAGACTTTGTTTGGCGAAAATAAACCCTGAACTTAAATTGTAGCTCTGTTAGGAGGACAAGGGAAGAAAAACCTAACTATAAAGCAGGTGAATAAAGAACTACTTTCTGACTTCATATGATTAAATTATACTATCGTAAATTACAGGGAAAAACAGTGAAACAGTTTATCTTTCACAATAACAGTGTTTCACTTCATGACAAAATAAAAGCTAGAGCTGGAAGAATAGTTCATAATCCCCAGGGGAAACATTAGGGATCTCAAACACACACATGTACATATGCTCACTCTGCTGCGAGTTAACAACTTCCCAAATAACTTACAAGGGATCAAAAGTAGGATATCTGTGGACTCTAGAACAGTGCAAGATGTCCAGACATACACTTTCCCCCTACAGCATTTAATGAAAATAATAAAAGGAAAAAAATACTAAAGCTGCCCCCTCACGTTGTGAGAAGGGGTAGACTGTACAACACAAACTTCTGCAGGAATCTTAACTCCACTACAATACTATGTTGGAAGGAAGGATGCAAGTCTGTCACTCAAAAGCAGTAAGCAATCTCAGGGTATTTTCTCTTTCATATATAATTTTATTTCTGGTTATAGAAACAAATGCTAAGAGGAGAAGCAACATTCCCCAACCACATACATCAAATTAAGGTAACAGAACAGTTAAAATAAATGAAAAAAATAGTAGAAATTTAAAACTTTGTTATAGCTTTAAAATATTAACGTTCTTGATACATTAGAAATCACATTCGGATCTCAAATTACTTTAAAAAAATGTATGGCTCCATATTTAAAAAAAACAAAACAAAACAAAACCCACTGTATCCCATTTGATATGGAAATGCAGGTCCTGCTCCTCGGATGCTTGTATTTGCCGTCTCCTCTGGTGAGCAGCAGCCTCCTCAGCACGACCAGGACCCTCTCCCAGCCCTCGTGGGAGCCACGGTCTGCCTGTGCAGTTAAACATCTCACAGGAGCAGTGCTGCAACACGGCCAGATAAAGATGATGAGCTTCACAGCCACTGCCCCAGATGGAGCTTCCCCCTTGGGATACACACCTGCTTTTTAGAAAGCACTGGTAATGAAAATATCACAAAAAATACTTTTGATATCAGCTGTAAAAAAAAAACAACAAACCCACAAACACCAAAACATCTGGCTGGAGATGTCTTATACAGGCAACACCAGGAACTGAAATGCAAGCATGGCTTTAGTTCCCTCATCTGTCCCCATCTTTAAGTGCCAAATCCATGTGAAAGGGGTGAGGCTCCCCTAGATCTCTGTAGCAGAACACCTCTGTCAGGCCACTGAGGTATTTCAGGTCCTTGTCTCACTGAAGCCTTCCCCTAAGGACTCAGTGGGAATGTATATCTGTGGAACAGGGGGAGATTCAGATTTTTCTAGGTGGTTTTTTTTTTTTTTTTTTTAAGCAAATATTCAGAGCTGGATCTGAATTTCCAGCTTTACCATCCACTGCTCACATACATCTTTTGATTTATCCCTAAACAGCTTTTAACAGTCCTTTGGATAACAGTCCTTTGGATAGTGACAGACTCCTGAATGCTCTTTTTGGCTATGCGGAGGCTGCCTGGCAGGCTGGACAAGGCCAGTCTCATCACAATATAAACAGCACGTCCAGAACCCAAGACAACATATGGTCTTGTAAGATTTTTATATTTTAAAGCCATCCCATTTTCTGTATCAGCATATATTGAATTTTTTTTTTTAAATATTCTCAGTTTTCTTTTCCATAAAGCATAGTGATCTTACAAACAATACTCTGGTTCCTTCTACTTCAAGCCCATTTGGGGGAGAAAGAGAGACATAAGACAAGTTTAGATTTACAGTAATTCATTTGCTAGCAACAACTTGCCTATTTAGCAGCCTGTCCATCTCCAAAGAACAGCATATAAATCAGCAGAACATCAGGACGTTCTGCACCAGACTTTTAGCAGCAAGGCAGTGAAACAGAAGGAAATCTCACTTTTTCTGCTCCATTTCTAATTTTTCATTCAGCTAACAGACGTTTCTCCTCAACGTTGCCCTTTGCTTTAAGAAAGGCTCTGTTTCAGACTGCTTTAAGTGAAGCTGAGGTGGAGTAGAAGGAGGACTGAAAGGTCTAGACCACAGTAAAGGTGCGTTGCTTAACTCAGCGACACACAAGCAGCAGTAACCAAATACTAGGGCAATCTGGCTTTCTGCTGAGGAGGAAAGCTGTTTCCTTTCCCTGCTCCTATTCTGGTTACTCTTCTTCCCACCAATCCTCTCCTCCCTTAATTACCAAGGCCAAATCACCAGACAGTGATTGTGGTGAAGCATTCAGTTGGGTCCTTACAGAGAAAGGAATTTCTACTTCTGGAAGAGCAATTAGGACTAGGGAGCCAAGTATTATTACCTGCTTTTAAGAATAATTCTTAAAATGCCCAAGTAGGTCAAAACACACTTGTGTGAATTTAGTGATCCTTGTGGAGTTAGACCACGACCGAAATTTGGCCAGTTAGGTGAAACTTACTCCTTGTGAATGGAAACATTAGAAAAACTTTTATGCATTTGTTTTTAAAGGGATACACACACACACCTCATACCCCATGAAGAGACAGAAGCATCATAAAAAGAGAATAATCTCACCACAGAGGAAGAGAAACTATTTTATAGTGCCCCAGTGTTAGCTTAGCCACCTGAAAGACAGACAGGGAGGAATTCCTCAACCTTACAGTATCATCATGGACCCTTCATTAATTTTCCCTGTTAGAAATAAGGTCCCATTACTTACAGAGCAGAACCTGTAAAGAACTCCCTGATACCACATCTAGAGATAATTTGAGACAAGAAAGGATTCCAGCTTTCAATAGTGCCATTTGGGGGATTTTCTTGCCAGAAAAAGCAGCACGGACTGGGGTTGCTGAAAGCATGGCAAAGCCAGAAGCAGGGCTTCTACACAAGGAAGATGCAAGTACCAAGTCAGCTCTTCTGCTCTGTGAGAGGATTGAAAGCAATCACTGAAGTAAAGCTGCTTCTACTGGCTGCTCACATTTGTTACAAAAATAGGTACATCGTTCTTTCAGAATCAGTGCCTGGTGCTGGAATTTACCAATATACTGTATAAAAGTCTGTGTAAAGTACCATTTAAGAGAAAGAAATAGTCATGGACCATTTATATACCTATACTCACACACATACACACTCTCACACATGTTAATAAATATAAATTTTATGTTTACACAGTTCTAATTTAATATTCTCTGAAAAAAATATTTAAAGGGTTTCTTCCTTAGCTGCCACCCTTGAATTGTCAATGTTTTTTTCTATCTTGAGAGCAAAGGGGTAGACTTGGCACAACTACCCTCAAGCTCCGAACCTTAAAGTGACACATAAGGAGAGGACCAGCCATACATTCTTAAAGGCTTTAATTCAGTGTTGGTAAATTGAAAAGGTATCAAAAGAATTTTCTGAACATATAAATACAAAGCTTAAAAGTTGATTAAAAATTTGGAATTTAAATATAGTGCTCCAAGAAAAACAAGTATTTTTCAAAATGTCTTGCTCAGGCCAAAGTAAAATGCTCACTGCTGCATTACTGCCTCATGAAAGACACCCTAGCAGAGAAAGCTCACCATCACAGCTAGGTATTTTCCACTGCTGATTATTATGCATGCATATATCCACACCTGTGTGCACAAACACATGGACTGTCCTGCAAATAACCCACCTGGCAGAGCCGCTCCAGCATGGAGTCACAGCTATGTTCTGATCCGGTGCAGATCAAAATGCAAGGCGGCATCACTTCCCAATCCCATCAGTTCCAGCAATCCAGATGACCCTGTAGTGTAACTGTTTTCTGCAGCACAGCTGGCTCCATTGTAAGCTACACTTTACAACAGTAGTGTATGCTATAGTACTAGCAGCTTTGGCATAATTTATCACCCAGAAGGAAACAAAGTTACATGACTGAACAATCTGTTGTATAACTGCAACCTAACACAGATTCTCACCAGATGCAGACCTTCAAGCAATGACATTAAATTAGGAGCTGGATTAAAGACTCTGGAGTTGACAGAAACTACAGAGGGAAAAAGCTGGGATGGGGAGCAGAAATAGGAGCTGCCCGAGAGACCAGCTGGCAAGGGACAACAGATCATTTGTTATAGAATGGCATTGCAAACTCAAAAGCTCAGTGTGTAGCAAGGGCAAAAATATGAAGCTAGTCATGTTCCTTCAGAGGTTCATTCTTAATGCTCTAGTCCAACTTATTAGCAGCAGGACTAAAAAGCCTGAAATATTTTGCATCAGGCTCGAAACTCAGTTTCAGTGCAGTGTGGAACTTGACTTATCATTTGATAAGGTAAAGCACAGGTGCAATCGGGATCCTTCAGTGTTGCCTCCTGTTCAAAAAGCTTCAAGACCCAAGCTGGCACTCTTCCTTGGAAGAGAGAGCCAAGATGGCTGTATATTTACTAACGCAATCCAGTTCACGTTGTGACTCGTTTCTTACACTTACATTTGTCTTGCAGCAAGAGACCAAACAAGTTACTGGGATTTACTTGCAAAAGTGTAGCTAGCAGGCCAAGGAAAACAGTGGTTCTTCCACTCCATCCAGCATTTGTCAGACCATATCTACATTACTGTACCGAGTTTTGGGCTCCCCAGTACAAGACAAATGGGGACCTTCTGCAGCGATTAAGCATGTGATAGACAAGAAGAGACTGAGACAACCAGGTTGGTTCAGGCTTAAGAAAAGGAAGATGGGGAAAATCTTACTGGTGCCTTCAACTACCAATTTGGAAGATGCAGAGAAGGCAGAGCTAGGTTCTTCATAGAGGAGTGAAGATGTGACAGGACAAGAGGCCAATGAACACATACAGCTGCACATGAAATTCTTCTTAGATAGCCAAGAAAAAGGTTTTACCTCATGGGTGGCCAGAGTGGAACAGGGAGACCAGAGTCATGGGACTTCTATCTCTGGAGACATTCAAACATCAGCTGGACAAGGTCATGGCAATGTGATCTAGTTGGACCTGCTCTCAGCAGGGGGTTATAGCAGAGACCTCCAAAGGTCTCTTCCAACTCAAGCTATTCTGTATTTCTACAACTGGACAATGACAGAGACAGAGATTTGATCTTCCCTAATAGTGCAGTTTTATGTGATCTATGTTTATCACAGCAATAAATCATAACTTAGAAGTCATGGCTTAAACCTCAGAAGCAAAGTTTGGAAACCAGCTGGAATTTAATCCTCAGATGCAGTTAGCTTGAAGAAACCACTTTTAATCCTCTACGGAAAGGCAGAGAACTATTGCTAGATTAAATCCTTGTCATCCAAGATCCCCAAACCTAGGTATGGCAGGGAAATGTTTCTCCTTTCACGCCACATTTTGACATTCATTTACATGCTGGCACACGTCAGAGTGGTATCAAATATCTCACTGGGAAAGCCCCTTGTTAACACAGATGAAAAGCTCTAACACCAATTTAACATCCCCAGCAGTCAGTGAAAACTTTTCCACATCACACCGTATGAAATCTCAGACGCTCTCACTTGCTTAGATATAGGTCGCTAACCTTCTGTGCTTCAAGTTAGATTTTACTGCTGGCATTTCCCTACTGAAAAAGGGGAAAAAATATGGAAGTTAACTCTGAAAGACAGTTCTAAGTCAGTACACAAGACAGATGTCTAAAACATGCAAAACCAAGTTTACCCCCCAAAAGCTGACGCCAGACCATGACACTGATTGCAGCAGCACTGCAAAGGCTTCAGCTGTTATTAAACTATTTCTTTCCTCTTACAAAGCTTTAACATGTCTCTGAAAACACACTCCTGAACAAGCTGTGCCCAACAGTAACATATCTAAAACACAGCATGAAAATTAAATACAGGGTGACCAAACTGACCTTTCTCAACCTGCTCTGGAGCTTCACGTATCCCACAAGTATTTTCATCCTTGAGTCCTTGGGCAGAACTTAATGAAAGGAGTTGCTCCCATCAGTGGATAAAAATGACTGGCTATGCTACACAGGACAGCGTTAATGGTATGGGGGAGGGAGGAATATGGGAAGAAAAAGGATTTGAGAAGAATATGAGCTAATCATGAACTTCAATTCTGTGCTCAGCATTGTGTCGTGTTATCAGTAAATCAGATTAAACTGATCTCACTGTAAAAAGCTTCCTGTATTAAAAGGGCCAAGGTCAAGACAAAATAATAACTAAGGAATTCCAGTGGAATAAAAATCAAGAACAACTGCATTCAGCTTTTGCAAACTGAGACAACAAAAGTTGCTATAAACTGATCACAATCAAAGTAAAATTAGTCTTTGTCATTGCCTAAGATAAAAAAATAAATAAAATCAGTAGGGAATGGTGAAAAGTGAATTCACACATTAAGAACTTGGTTTTAAAGTTCTCCCAGGTCTAAGTTATAGCAGGTTAAATATTCAACATGCCTTGACCTTCATTATACAGACAGCAGAAGACGCACTGAAGCCTCCTACTCCTCTCCTCCTCAAACCTCCCTCAGTTAATATAATTGAGGACATGAGATACAACTTTTTAGACAACAAGATAATCAATTTAAAATAATCCAAGTACTAGTATATAACCATGAAGGTAGTATTTTCTTTCTAGTTGAAGACTTTATTCTACTCTCATACTAATTTTCATTCCTCTGCAGTGTTCAAAACTGAAAGCCTCAGGAATCAGGACTGATACGTAAAAAGAGTGGAAGAGTGGTGCTGTCTTCCCGACTGCATGGTGTGTTGAAGGAATTAATCTGGACATCTGAAATAGGATGTCTCCATCTCACATGTTCCAGATGAGGAATCACATTTTTCCACAGCTCTCAGCAGGATTTAGTAAGAACTGTTGTTCTGTCTACATCATCACCTGATACTAGGTAACGTATAGGTAAACCTACCAAAAAAGTTTTCAAGCAACATGGCTGCTTCCTACAGTAGCAGAGGGATGCAGCAGACTGATAAAGCAAAAATCCCGTGATAAGATGAATTGACAAATTCCAGACACTTCAAGCAGAATGGGTGAACAGATCAAAGATATTTGCTTATCCTTAACTCACATCTTAACCATCAGGCATCCTGAGCCACAAAAGGAAGAGTGATAAAACTTTATTCTGTGTTAAATACCAAGGAAGCAGATCTACACATGCAACCTGAGGATGGACTTTCAAGAGGTATCTACAAAGCAGCAGCTGGTGTATGAAAACCCCATGATTCATCTGATGTATTTCTATGGTGCTGGACTAGTTTACAGAAGGTTAGTGCCTAATTATTCAAGACTTTTAAAGAGAAAAGCAGCAGTAATGAAAAATCCACAAAACTTTGGCAACATACTGGAAACTCAAAGGCTCCTCTGATTCAGGAAACCTCCCTAGCTTCAGGGCTGTTTCAGAGGCCTGCCTGTACCTAAACCAGCAGTAATGATTAATCACAGATAAACTATGCTGCACTCTCACTTGTGCATTCTTCCTTGAAGTCCCATTTTATTGTATTCTGCCTTTGAAAAGGCTACAGAAAACAGAGCTAATCCAAGGGCTTCTCTGCTATGCCACATCTAGCCTTCCTAGCAGGAAAACTGAAAGCTGGAGGCTGGCCTGCTTCAATTACTTTGTGGTTTGTAACAATCCTCCCTCACAGAATCATTTCAAAGTACTAACATCCAATCTAATAACTTGTCACTGAAGGCACACACCTAAATTATAAAAGCCTAGCTGTAGATAAACAAACAGTCCTGAATATTTTGTGTGCCTCCAACTGCAGAGAGTAACCGCAAATCATGAGACCAAGAAATTATTTCTTTCAGGAATATTTCTCACAAAACAATTGGCTTGAGATTAAAACATGGTTGGGTTTTATTCAAGCAGTGGGACTTGGCTATTGAATAGGATTTGGCAAAGTGAAAGGAAACCTAAAAGGGAACAAGTGATGTCAGCTGTTACCTTGCGGATTTCCTCTCCCTCCCCAGATTCCAGCAGACATCGAACAGTTGTGCCTTACCCCCTAATCCCCATGACATACTGACAGTATCACTTACTGCACATTGGGGAAACCTTTTTGCAGGGGCTTGCCCCTCTGCTCTGCAATAGCATTGTCAGACTACAAGACAGAAGCCTCACAATAAATCAATACAGATAAGGGGACAACCTACCAAAGGTATACCCCATCCCTCTAAAGTCTCTTTTGCCATTACCAAAGCCATAACATTTTCTAAATTAAAGAGATCTCTGCTGTGCTGCCAGAAGACACATTAGCCAAAGGGATTGCAAACAGGCATAAACCCAAACGGGTTAGCTGGAGGCTACACAGGGGTTGATTTCTCTTCCAGTCACAAGGCATCACATGTACCCACTGTTCCACATGGCTGAAGTGACTCAAATCTGCTTTACTTGTAAGACATACTTGTACTACATGAAGAGCCTGGAATACAGTTTGAGTAAAAGCCTCCTCCTACTGGCCAACCCAAATGGTCCTCAAGGAGGAGAGATGGGAAAGGGAGCCAGGCAATGAAAGGAAACCTCAACATTCCTTTCGGAAAACCTCTTTGAAGACCTCCAGTGACTTTTGCCACATGGAAAATAAAAGGCCTCTTTTGCCTTGGTCTCTATACACTTACAGAATTGGTATTAAACACTGCATGAACTCTGTTGCCTCTCACTCCAGCTCCCAACTTCTCTCTCAGAAGAGTATCACTGGAGCTTTGCTGTTAGCCAGGGCAAAGGGTCAGTGACAGACTCCTATCCAGCCCTGGCCATTGTCCATTGAGCTGAGGACCACACTACCAACAGGAGGTGAAGGCAGACTGCTTTAGTGCAGAAGACCAACCAATATTTTTGCAAGTTCACAGAGACAGTGGCAATGTCTTTACCTATAGTGCCATTTTGAACAAAACCTGGTGCTTCAGCACAGGATGTGATCAATCAAATGCACACAGAATCTTTTGGAGACACCCTTCCCAATGTGATCCTCAGTCATCAAGATACTTTGGCTGTTGTCCAGAGCAAGTGATGAATAATTGTAAGAAATCATTGAAGGTACAAAACCCTTTCTTTTTAATATCTTTACAGGAACCAAATTAATACAGTTCCTCTGTCATCTTATTCTCCCTCAGAGGGAATGGAGAGAAATTGCATCTGAAAATCCAGGTGGCTGAGCCCTATAACTCTTCTTCCTGAATCCCCACATAAATAAACATTCGTTCATATTCAGAATTTTTCTGTTTTAAAAAACAAAATCATTTGCCTTTTTCTTTAAGCTTGGTACCATGTTACTTTAATGTTGTTGTGAGATACTGCACCCATCTTTCAGCATTTGATTGCCTTAGGTGGCCTTTTAAAAATGGTCCTATGGTTCAAAGCTCTGAGAAGCACAGTATTAAGGCATAGAAAATGAGGAGTTTTCTTTCCAGGGAGCAGACTGTAATTGTGTTACATTCCTTTAGATGCTGAACTGCAAATCCCATTCCCTTGGAGCCAAAAGGGGAAAAGACAGTTAAAAAATATCCCAGCAGTCATACAATCAGTTGTCTGTATTTTTTTGAATCTTAAAAAAAAAAAAAAAAAAAAAAAAAGGAAAAAACATCCCATAGGTAAAGACAGAACAGAGTTCCAGATATGGGTTCTTGGGAGGGGTTTTCCATTCTTTTTGGCACCTTGTGATTCTAACAACTGTTGTCCTCCCATTTAAAAATTTGACTTTAAAAAGAGCTCTTTATCTGCTATGTTTTGAGCTGTTACAGTTGTGGTTTGTTTTCTTTGAAAGCTGCTTTAGGGCTCCTGCCATCCCACGCCCACCCTGTATCACTCCAGCTCCTCCCACCGGTTCTTCATTCACTGGTTGCCTGTCCTTGTGGCACTGTAGATGTGATGACTCCTGTTTGGGCTGGGACTGCTCCGCTGGACTCTTCTATCCGGGGTCTTTTGACTTCAGGTTCACTGGAAGAGGCTGCTGTTGTCTCTTCGGTCCCTGTCTCACATACCCGGCTGACTACAACAGGAGTGGATGAGCTGGCCTGGGCTGCAAGAAGCTGCAGTGGATTTGTAAGAGCTGGGAAGTAGGACAAGAGAGAGAAGGAGAATTAATGTGATGAAGTAAGTAGCACAAGTGTTTGCTATTCCAGAAAGAAAGAAAACAAAACACCACAGTTAAATGCAATAGCTGGCACATATTGAAGTGTTGTTTTCAAGGCCATTTTGAAAAGACTGCTAGCCTTGTCCCTCCCTCTCCCCTCACAATCTCAGCTTTGTGCAAGCTCAAACTGGTAATAACCCCTTTCATAGGGGAACTTCCTTCTTCCTATCCATTGTCAAATATGGCACTGTCAGCTAAGCACTCATCTCCAACAGGGGAGGATCAAGCCTCTGTTAAAATTACAGCACACCTCCTCTTAGAGAGGTAGTTCTCTGGCTACCTACAATCATAACTTCTTGCAAGCTGTAACATCTGTGTGCTGTGCCTTCAATTTAGAGGGCTCTCTTTAGCCCTGGTTGCACAGTAATAACAGCCAGTCTGTTGGGAAACTAGATTAGAATCCAAATATTGAGTGTACTGACATCTCACTTGTAAAAGGGACAGGAAAGAGCTTACCCCAGACAACCAAATGAGTTCCCATCAGAACTGGGATCAGAATGTAGGAATTTCCATCTCCCAATCTTGTACTCCAGTACTGACAAAAGATCTCACCCTCCCATTAATAAAAGTGGTGAGGAAAAGACGACTATTTAAGTAGCAACCCTCCATAAGAATGTCTACAATTCCTAGTTCCAGACAGAGAATGTGCTTACACACTGGCTTTGGCACACAGCACTGCTTGGAAAACAAGACACATGCAGTTTTTGGACTCTGCATCAATCAGAGAGGCAGCCAAAGGGGACTCAGGAGACAGCACATCCTCTGCCCTCCAGACTGATTTGCAAAGGATGGAATGACAGAATGTTAGTGGTGTGTTCACTGCTAAGTATATCAGAAAAGGAGCCCTAGGATAAATAAACAAAGCAAACAGAACAAAGGCCCTCAAAGCCCAGCAACTTCTAGCAATGCAGGGGAAGGAGGCTGCAGAGTATCAAGAGGATGAAAGAAAAAAAAAAATAGAGTAAGGATGGGGGCAGATACCAGCTAGAGTTCACTGACTCTGAGAACCTAAATCATGCAGCTGAAGGGAAGTTAACTTTGTATAGACAAGAGTCAAGAGACTCGTGCTCCGTTTTGTGAACCAGAAAATTCACTACCACTTACAAAAAAACACCCCCTCAGATGTAAGTGAAATACCTTCCAGTTTGATGAGAGCTAGAAAAATTTTGGTAAGATTAGAATATCTTAACATAAAAATGTTAAACTGTCTGATTCTACATTAGACAAACACTACTGCTGGGTAGGCAGCAACTCCACTTATCTGACCTATTTAATATCTTTATATCCTAGTTGCATAAAAAACCCCTTATCGCTATCATTTTTTTCATTGCTCCAATAAGATTCTTGCAATTCAAGTGCAATTCAGGTGATACTGTGAATAGATAAGGCAGAAAATTCTGTAGAAACACTCCTACCTTCATGAAAGCCATCAAAATCCCACCAGTGCCCTTCATTTCAAATGCTCCCTAAGCACTAGCCTGGGACAGCAGAGGTGCTTAGCATCTCATTGAAAAGGGCTGTAAGAAACCTGAATATTACCATCCCCAGTCATCATCCTTAACTGAACAAAATCTGAGGTGCTGAGCAAGCAATAAGGGGAGGCTGCCAAGACATAGCTAGTGTGGGATTTTAAAAATCAGGCTTGACAAATGGCTAGAATACATCCTGCATATAAAAAAAAATTCCTACATTCATTCACCTGATGAAATAGATCTCAATTCTCTCAGGCTCTAAGACCTTAAGATGGGAAAATATGTTATTTTCTTAATACTCTGTGGAGTCATATTTCACAAGATCTAAAGAGCACCATGAAAATTTTGTTATTTGGCATGCTGAAAGCAAAGGCTGTTTGTCAGAACAAAACAAATGGAAACATGCTCTACGCAGGAATTACTAACACTTTCAACAAGTAACCCTCAAAAGGTAGAGAGTATAAATAGTAATAAATGCATAGCAAGGACAAGGGAAGACACTGGACTTTTCAGAAGCAATGATAGATAGCAATTTTTGTCTACTAGGAAAAGGGAACAGAGTCGGACAGTCTACCACTGACATTTACAGCCACAGAAGTTGAAGAACTGGAAAACCTTTGGAATTGGACATATGGAATAACGTGATATATACTATGAAGAGAAGACCCTTACAGCTTTACAGCCTAACTGCTAAGCCCAGAGAGCAATCAAAAACCAGAAAGCAATGGAAACAGAGCCTACCATAAGCGCTGCCGGTGATGCTGTTGGTGGGGACGGCATGTTTCCCGTTCTGAGTGACTGCCCGCACGGGGAGCTGGTGCTGTCCGATGGTCACTGGAGCTGCCTGCTGAAGGATCGTGACTGTCTGTCCTGGAACACCCTGTGCCATTTGACTGGCGACTGTCTGAATAACACGGCTGGCTGTAGGTATTGTGGCAAATGCGATAGTTGGCTTTTCATCCATGCCTACTTAAGAGTAGAACAGACAACAATCATTTACTACCCTGGCTTAGGAGCAGGCTTTATTCCCATTAACATTTTAGCAGTGACACATACCCCAGGCTTAGATGTGTAAATACCTCAGCACCACAGGTCAGGGATGAATATCTGAATACACTAAAATAGTCTCTATTGCATATATACTCTATCAATATTAAGAACATTCTTATAGCATAGGCCACTCAGCCAAAAAAAAAAAAAAAAAAAAAAAAAAAATCAAGATTATAATATTGACCCTTTGTCCTCAAAAGACATCATCTCCCTTATTGGCACATTATAGATCGTGATATGGACAGCAGTCACCACAAATCTCATAGCCTACTTTGTAATTATGGGCAAATTGGCCTGACTCTCAATACCACACAGCAGGAGAAGGCATTAAGATCTTAAACAATGCCTGGAGCCAAAAGTCTGCAACAGCTTGCTGTCATGCCTGCACATAGGTTGATTTACAAAGGAGGTCTTCCCACAATTGCAAGCTTTTGCCAGCTATGGAAGTACAGGAAGAAACCAGGAGGGAGCTAAAAAAAACAAAACTGAAAAAAAACCCCAAGGAGAGCTGAGCTCCTGGATAGAGATAACTGTTTGAGAGCACTCAACCACTTATCTCACTTCCCAGGACAAGTAAGGGGTCAGTTTAGCAGGCATGTAACAGATAGAGGACAGCTTCCTGCAGAGCATGCAGAAAAGGAGAGCCACTCTTCTCTTCCAGGGGCTCTGTGGGTCTCAAAGCAAAGGAGGCAGGCAGGAAGCACAAACTTATTAGTCCTGTAGGAAGAGAAAACTTCTATTTTAACATCAGCAGACAACAGGAATGGAGCTAGATGGGACATAAGCATTGTTGAGACCTGCAGGCAAGCTGATGGGAAGAAGGGAGAAAAAAGGCAAGGAAGGCAGGGAGATTAGGAAGGAAAATGGAGCAAGAAAAACAAAGGGAAAGTAAAGACTAGAAAAGGATATTAGTGGGAATAAGAGAGGGACAAGTAGGGAAAGAACAAGTGACAGCAAGAACTAGTGAATGAAAAAAGGGAGCAGCTGCAACTGTTAGTGCTTCAGGAACATGTATGGATCCAGACAGGAATTTCTAGAGAATGCAAGTGAAACTCAAGCAGAATAACCAGTGATGAACTAAAGAGGACAATGGTCCAGCTACTGCAGTAGGGAAAGGTCTTTTGTAATTTTTTTCTTTCCCTTGGAGAAGAACTATTGCCTCACTGCCCACATAAAAGCAATCAGAGTAACTAGTCTTGCTGCTGGTACAATACACATCTATCTTGTAGCACTAAGCCCTTCTGAAATGGTGAGCAGACAAGGTGTTGTCTAGATCACAGTAAGAGAACACTCAACTCACTAAATGCCCCAAGGCTGGAATTTCCAGCTTAGGAAAAGAGGCCTTTGTTGTAACTGGTTTCTGAAGATTGCTTTAATGGGGCATTGCCTGCACTTCCAGAAGCACATGCTTTCCTCTATGAATCCAGGCCTGCTGAAAAGAAGGGCTCAATTGCTTATTTACAAGGCCACTCTGAAGCAGATGTTTCAGCCTTTCCCAGGCCATCTCTTTTGGCTAGAAAAAGCACACATTGTCATAGCACACCCAGATGACCAATACAGAGGCATAATATTGCCACTGGGGATAATATAAATATTTAAAGCTCTGAATGTTTTTTCAGTCTCCAAAATCTGTTAGATTTGTTTCCCACAACAGACAAGGCAGCACAGTTGTCCTACTCGCTGACGGAGACATCAAATGGATGAACCCTTATTTGGTTTAAGTTTTACCTGGAGAAGCATCTTTTATTAAGGTCTAAGCACCCAGTGAATGAAACAGCGTTTGACATCCCCCCTCCCCACAAGCCTGCTCAAGACTTATTGATGGAGTAGCAAGGGAGGTGAAAAGCTACCTCGGTGGTCACCAGCTAAGTCCAACACTGCTCCTGCAGCTTCGTGAGCTCCTCCTGCTGTGCCCTGATTTGTGAGGATGTATCCGTTTGCAGAGTTTGCAGAGGAGGTCACAACTCGGACCATTGTAACAGTGGGAGCCTGTTGAACTACGTGAATTGCATGACACGAAGGCTGTTGTGAAGTCACTATAGATGCTGGCATGTACGCGACTGGTTTTGCCACCAGAGTAGATGGTCGGGGAGGAACAGCCATAATCACTGGCTGGGCACTGACGGGAGATCCTAAACAGAAGAGAAGCATACATTAAAAGGAGAAGCAAAAAGGTCTCCATTCATTTCATCTATGTACTTCTAATCTGCAATACTCAGTCCTTCAGCATTGGCCAGAGTAGGGGGTAGGGAATAAAAAAAATAAGGCTTCAAGAATACCACTTTCAATCATCTCTTTCTTAACTTACAAAAACCTTACTTGCCATCTGAGCACATTTCTGTGAACAAGAGCCATGAGCACAAAAAAAAATAATGAAGTTTTACTTAATGAGCTTTGTCTTCCAACTTCACCAGGAACACTATATATCAGGCCAGTTACAGCATAGCTGACAAGCTGATACTTACCAATGCTTAAGAAATTACTAAGGCCCTGGTCACAGCACCACAGAGCTCTGCACAGCCAAGCTCATCTGATCCAGAAGGCTGGTAAACTAGTGTGAGCAAGCTACACAGTGCCACGGCTACTTTGCTGTCAGTTCTTTAGAGCCACCTACTTCAAAGTTAGCTCATGTGTTTCTACCGTTCTTTTATCTGTTGCATATACATCAGTCTCTAACAACGAAATGGAGACACCTAGATCCTCCTGTAGGACAGTGGCAGAAGCATTCTGGCCATGGCCTCAGCATGGCACTTGGTGCAACTGAACAGTCACCCTCCGTGAAACAAGAGCTACTCACCAGGTGCACTCTGTGAATACCGATATTCTGGAACTGAGGCTAACTTTGACCCAAAGTCGTGATCGTGTGGAATGGGTGAGCCCTCCCGTGACAGGCACTCTGGAGTCTGTAGGCCACTAGAGTGAGGCGACAGCAGGCCAGGGTGAGTAGGGGAGGCAGGAGCACTCCTGAAACACCAGAACATAGTGTTGGCAAGTGTAGATGCATTTCAGCCACAAGACAGCAGTAGAGACCAAGAGTTATCTCCAATACAGGATTCTCTCGCCAAAGGACAGACTTTCTTCCACATTACCCACTACAGTCTTGCTGGGAAGAGCTGAAAGGTACACAGTAACCTCACAAATGCTCTAGCACCCAATACTGCCATATCACTCCTTGCTGAAGGAAACTAGACACTTCAGAGTATGCTTAACATTTCATTTTAAGATCCGCTGCTGACAGAGAAGCTGTGAGTGCCTCATGTTCAGATCAGTTTTATAACTTCAGGCCATTCTCAAAGAATCTTTGTCAGTGTTTGGGAGTGACGGGGAGAGGAAGAAAGATGCAATGTAGATGCAAGTGCCTGGCCCTGGCTATGCTTACAGAGCCGTTGCTCCCTGTTGCCTCCCTTCCCAACCACATAGTTCCCACGTGGCCAAACACATGAGGAATTGAACATTTCTTCAGTGACAAACAGGATAGAAGCCGATCAGCTGCAAACCTCTCTTCTGGTTTCTCCCCCCATTTAACAGACAGAAAAGAAGAGGTGTGGGAGGAATGTTACATGAAACTGCTCCAGCTAGTGTTGAATTGCAAGTCTTTATCTTCACAGCTACAGGGCTCAGAGAAAGCTGTCATTGCACACAGCTCCTCTTTTGCAGTTACACCGCTGACTGGAACAGCTACACAGAACACCCCCCATTGCTTCACTGCTGACAACCATGATCAACCTGATCTTCCCTATAGAAGAGTATTTTAAATACCACAAAATTTATTCCCACTATGATCTAATCCACATCTAAACAAAGCTTCCCTGAAATGAAAGACTGGCATCTGAAAACACTTACTCCAGTGATAACTGCTTTGAATTTCTTTGAAATGATGCCTAAACAGATATGTTATTTGATATATTTTGTAGTTTGGTTCTGGATTTTTTTTTTGGGGGGTAAACACTTAAGTCAGAATGGTTTTCAGGTTATGCCTCAGGACTATTTAACTATATTACCTCTCGAACTATGCACAGAAGTAAAGTTTGCTCATTGTACTTCAGGAGAAGTTTGTTTGTTTTCTTTGTAATGAGTCTGGAACAGAGATTAGAGGAAGTTGAAGTTACCTGGAGGAGAGAGGCCCAAAAGGTGTTCGGAAGCAGGACACTCCTCTTTGCCTTCGTTTTCTAAATGCTTGCTCTACTAGTTTGGCTTCAGAGGGAGGGTCAATTCGCCAAAAGGAACCTTTTCCAGGCTCCTCCTGGGAGCGTGGGACTTTAATAAAGTAACGGTTCAAGGAGAGGTTGTGCCGAATGGAATTCTGCAGGAAGCAGAGGAATGAGATGATTATTTTGCCATGAGGAAGCATATAACAAATACGAATGGGTTTCACCATACAGTCTCGAAAAATAAAACCCACACTGCCAGAATCAATGTTGAAGACAAACAAGACAGCTCACACAGCTCCAAAATCACAGAACTGCAAGAGAAAACCTGGGGAAACATGTCAGAGTTTCTGATAACCATGCTGAAAGATAGGTTTGCTTGGTACTACATCATCATGTAAATACATCTGGAGCCAGGCAGTGCAGTGATTCTTCTGTGGAAAGCAGACCCTTTGCTGAGGCAGGGGGAAATCACTGTAAACCACATCAGAACTCTCTCAAAAGACAGGCTTTATTCTAGGTGAGCAGAAAAAATTGCTGGAGCCTGTACTAACTGCTCACCTGCCAAATGATCATCAGTGTGCCTAAACATGCCCTAAAGGACACGGCATCTCACGGTAATCATAATACAAGCCAGCCAACATGCCCTCAGACAGCTGCTTCTGAGAAATCCCATCATCTATGTGGCACTACTTTAGAACTGTACAGCTCTCCAGATGTTGACAAGACTATTTACCTTTTTCATTGCAAAAGCCCACCTCTTACTGGGTGTAGCACTGCCTTTTGGGCTAGGGGAAAGGCTCAGTAAGCCCAAGTGTGCATAAGCTCATTCCTCTTCCACTTTCAAAACAAAACAAGAGCTTTTGTAGTAGCTTTAGATAAGTTCTCTACAAGTGAAGCCTTATAATACCACTGGTAGGGGAGGGGAAAAGACAACTTCACCCTCCACTGAAATACAGCTCTTTGAAGCAGGATGCAGCAACTCGTTCACAAAGCATAACTCTGCTGAGCAGGTTAAGGCAGGAAGTGAATTCCACAATTAATTAGAACTGCAGGGAAAAGCCAGGGAGGCAGAAATGTATTTATTCCAACTGTACTCAAAGTGCACCAACTAGTACTGCTCCTGCCAGTTGAACACAATGAAATCAGCAGCTGCAAGAGTCTTTCCAGCTGCATTAGTGTATTATATTCAAATGACAACACCCATTTGAGAGGTGTGATGCCAAGAAAAGTCTGAAAGCAGGTGGAGCTGAGGTTTCTGGAACTTTGAAAGCAGCCCTCGAGTGAACATTTAAGCTTGATTTAGCATGTGTTAACTACATCCAAACTCTCCTACAAAGCCCATCAGATTTCCTTTAATACCACAAGGAAGGCATAGACTCGAAGCTCTACAAGTTTGCACTCTGAGATTCAAAACTTGCAAACTGTGACTTAGGCAATACAGTTGATACACGAGGAAAACAAAACATCTGTGATGACTTCAGGTGTTAAGATTAAAACCTGGGACCTCAGTTTTAGGACAGACATCATCTGCTTGGACAAATGACAAACAAAAGACAAGGTGAAGGACTGAGCAAGATTCAGGCAAGTATTTGTGCAGGACTGACTGATAGCAACAATGTTGAAAAATAAAAAACAAACTAAAAATGAAAGACACATAACTACAGCATTAATAGGGTTTCAGACACCAGATAGTCCAATAGTAATACACTACGTTGCCCTAAAAAGTATTTAAAAAAAAAAAACTAATCACTCACAAACTAGTTAGCTTACATTAAACAAATTCACTCTGGGAATAGTCAAAGCAGCTCTATTCCCAGTGCCCCAAATCTTTAATAAAAGCATTTCAAAGCAGATAAGCCCTGTCGAAGTAGTTTAAAAGCTCTTCAGTGTCAAAAACTCACCTGCCAGCCTTTGTCAGCAGTCCTGTAATATGGATAATGCTTGGTAATGTGGGCATAGATCCCACTTAGTGTTAATTGCCTGTCCTGTGCTGAAGATATAGCCTGCACAATTAGCTGAGCATAAGAATAGGGTGGCTTTGACTCATCCTAAGGAAAAAAAACAAACAGAAATTTAGTCACTAACAGCATTTCTACACTAAAATATACCAACCACCCAAACTAAAAAAACGACACTGGGCTGTAGCTTTCACAGATGCTAAGAGAGCATCAGGGGCAACTAAGAGCAGCATCACCCTCTTCCCTTCCACTCCTGTTTTATACTGGTACCTCCTAATTTAGCACAAGCATTTGTGTGCAAACAGGATGACAGGACTGAGCCAGATCAAAGTGTTTTCTTCCCTCTCCCCACAAACACACACACAAAAAACTAACTTTAATCTGATGCCACTCCCCACTGAATTTACCACATGTACTTACACCAGCACAAGGAACAGGCTCAGGACAAACAACTGGAAGCAAAGAGTTAGAGGGTGTAGCGTACATTCACTGCTCAGTGTTCATGAAACTAAAGCCTTCAATTCTGCCTAGCTACAGCTTCACTTTGTTAGAAACATTTCACGCAAGTATGCTATCAGCTCTCCTCCCAGCAACAAGCCCAATATGAAACTTGATCCTGTCCCTTCCCCTCTACAGCAGGATTTGTTTCATTCTAGGAACTTTAATTTGTTTGCCAGATCTCATATTCCCAGCTCTTCATATTACTCCATCAAGAACAGCCCTTGTCTCAAGGGAGAATTCAATCTACAAAAAAGCCATCTAGTATTGTGCTCCTCCACCCAATCCCAAATCAGGTGGTTTTGGATCTAGACCTTTAACTTTGATCTGAAGATCAGCTCACCAAAATTAAATTTTATCATTACAACTAAGTTATTTTTTAATCAAAATTCCACTTGCTGCTCTCCTCATTTAACGCCGGCTTAACAGGCCCTTGTATTTGTTTTAAAGTCAGACTACAGATTTCTCATGGCAAGGATCTGGTTTCTTTCCCTGCTTCCCCTTTCTCCAATTGTGTTTTGCAAAATACCATTAATTAGAAGGAGAAAACAAGAATCTGAATTTTAATGCACCTCTTTATGGGTTCTTGATTTATCAAGCAAAAAAGTCTTCTCACTTAACCACTTTAGTGAATGACTTGAATACATTTTGGTCAGCTAATCAAGCAGATTCATCATCTACCACAGATGCTAGTTTAAACGCATGGACTCAAAACCCTGGAGGACACTGTACACAGCACCCTTATGGCCAGGGTATTCTTATACCCATTTAACTATATCCAGCACTGACAACGAATTGCCTGGTCTTAATAAGCCTCCCAGTGAGCGCTGCTGGGTAAGTAATGTTTCTCTGAACCTTTGGGCTGTCCCCGCCAGATGCATCTGCCTGCTGTTCTGACGCTGCTTTTGCAGCATACTCTGCTGCCAGCTGCAGATCCGAGGTAATGTTGTGAACAAAACGATATCCTGAGGATCCAGCACCACGTGGACTGGCCGGGCAAGAATTGGGAACACTGGAGAGGTAAAAAAGAAACACAGTTATTTGTTACTTCATTTATTAACACAACATAGTTCTTACTCTCTAAGGTACAGTAAAGTTCCCAAGTCACTGAGAAGCAGATATGCACTGGGCTTATTTTTTACCTCTGTGGCTTATCCAAAGCCCAGTCAGAGATAAAATTGGAATTTCTAAAAAATCCTGACACCCTCCCCCTGCTTCTACAATCACAAGACATCAGAGTCTCAAAGTATTAAACAACTCCTCTGTGTTTAGAGAAGCACTTGAAACAATGTGGGACTTAAAACAACATGCAAGGGATGAACACTTAACTAAATAAAAAGCTTGCTGTTGTAACTTGTGAATGAACACCACACAACTCTCCTTACAACACAGATAATATTTAAACAATCGTTCTAACAGATACAGGCTATGTTTTTTTTACAGTATCAAAGCACCAAGTGCAGGCATCTGCCATGAAGGTGTCTAACACAACACCTGAGCTTCAGAAAATCATACCCCATTCAGTGCTACACAGCTAGAGACAGATATTTCCTTGATTCACCAGCGCACAAATGCAGGTAACAAGAGGGAGCTGCAGTCACTAGTATACAACACAGAAGGTAGTTCACTCATCAGCTTTGGATAGCATGGGGCAAAGACATTTAGAGCCCCGAAGCCACCACGAGATGGCATTAGAGGAACAGCTACTGAGCAGGAAAGCCATGATAAAGCTGATAAAAAAGCTACAAACAAATAAAAGGTGGCTCTAATTTGCAGCACCAGTCAGGCACACAGAAGCGAGCGCTACAAGATGAGAACTAATCATAAAAGCTTGTCTAGGGATCACACATCCTTGATTTGCAGGGCTGGAAGGACAGGAGAATAGGGATGAGTCTGGAAATCTGAAGTTCCCTTTTTCTCTCTCCTGTATTTTAGGCCATCTGGCATCGAGGGGTGCAACACCAGAGCAGCATGACATATAGCCAAATCCCAGGATTACATATGTCTCCTACTTAACAGCAGAGAAACAGTGAACAAGAAAGCAAAATAGTATGCAGATTTACATAGCAAAACAAGCAGTTCAAATTGTATGAAGAGATGCAAATTGAAGCCCACAGATGGGAACCTGAACTCAGTAAAACTGGCATAAACAACCCCCTTACCAGTCAAATGCCCAATAGCAGTGCTAACCCTGACACAAATAAATGCAGTAACTGACACTCAGAGCACTGTGTTAAATGCTGCATGAAAAAACAGATCACAGTCCCTTCTTCAAAAAGGTGACTGACTAAATAGCTTCCCCCACACAAACATACACATGTGGATGGAGAGGAAACTGTGAGACAATCCTCATTTGCTCAATGGGCAATACCTTCAGTGCACAAGCAATCTGACAGTACAAGGAATGACCATTTCCTACCACAGTCCAGCCTATAAACTGAGAAGTGCTGCTTCTCCCTGTGGCATCTTTGCAAATGGCTGCAGCGCTGAGCTCAGCACAACTGAGACTGGTTTCTTTTAAAAGTGAAGTGCAGGATGGGGGGAGAGGAAAGCATCAACAGAAATATCCAGCCACAACAAACCCTTGCAATAGCAAACCCAGCCTCACCCATCTCCCATACTAGCCATGCAAACCATTGCACAGCACCTGGTAACCCTTTCAGCACCCACCAATAGTCCTTGGCATTAATGGGTGATGCTACTCAGAGCACAGCAGGCGGTGAAGCCTTCTGGTGGTGCACAGTATATAATGTTGATGAGACCGTAAGTATAAATCTCCCTTTGTCAGAGATAAAGGCATTTCTTACCTAGTCTTTCAAAAAGCAGAGACCTGTTTGTGCAGGAAAATGAATCAAAGTTTGCTATTCCACTCTTTGAGCCCACTTTGGAAGTGGATAATGCTAAACCCGAGAAGACACTCTTGATGTCTTAGTATTCACATGGGGAGCTGGTGTGAATTTATTCTTCTGTCATTTTTCAATAGTTTCTCCACATACAGACTCCTTATAACGTGTAGATAATTACAAATGAAAGCTGTTTTCATACATGAAACAATGACAAACCAAAACCACAGCTATTCTTTTTATCTTTGTGTTTGGCACCTGAGCAATCATTGTAACACACGGATTAGGAATGGAATAAGATGAAACAGTTTTCTGATTTTGTTCTTCATCTGCAGAAATACATGAACAGAAAACCAGAGACAGCAGCCAAAACTCAGGTCAAAGATATGGAAGAGAGAAAGTTCTCCAGTAAATCCACGCTCTGCAGAGGACTGTATTTCTGTGCCTTTTTCTAAACACATAAATGAAACTAGTATGGCTTCAAAGATCGACCCATGCAGTTCAGATACAAGGATTGATTTGTTTCAAGATCAGCATAGCAAGTTGCCCAGCTTCTGCTGTTCAAATTCTAGCTTCTGAGGGTGATAAGGTGTTTTAAGTTTGATTTCTTGCCTTTTTTAAAACAAAACAAAAACAAAACAAAAAACCACCCAACAACCACAAAGGGAGAAACCCTTACCCTGCAGGGCTGTGATTCTCTTGATTGCTGACAAAGCCCTTCTAACCTAAACCCAAAGTGTTGTTAACTTGTAGAAAAGCCAGCCTTTCCCAGTAGACAGTCAATGAAGAACATTACAGTCCCCTAAAGCAGCAGCAGTCCCTTGGGATGTCCACAGCAGTAGCTGAAGATTTGGAAGCGGTATTATTTTTTTACCAGATTGGAGCACTTTTGTCTAGGTAGACTTGCTTCCTTTCAGTCTGGGTCAATGATCAAAAAGACATGGGTACAGAATAAACAACACTAACTTTTAGCCGCTCCATGCAAAGAGACAGGGTAACACATGCTGCTAAATGTTGGAGCTCTCAGTCAATCATCAGAGAGCTCTTCAGAGGGAAGGGAGAAACAGCTGACTACTGGAAAACAGGGAGAGACAATCTGTGTGTGTGTGTCCCAACAAGGGACAGAAGGAGCGAAGAAACAGTTTTACTAAAAATACCTCTCTGAGGGTTAAGTTAAAATTAAGCATTAGTGCAGTCAAAAGAAAACAAGCAAACACAATGCAGTGACATCAGTTTCCTGGAGTTCCTGGAATTTTCCTTACCACCTAGAGCCAGGGATGCTTACATGCACTCACAACACCTTTAAAAATATTATGGAACAAAAAGACTTTTCCCTACAAACACCTGTTTGTGCTTTAAAACAAAAATCAAGTGTGGAGACAGTGACTACAATTTGTTAGATATTAATATTGCATCAATATTTGGCGATAACTTGATCTATTTTGACACTATAACCTTTTACTGAGAAAAAGCGTATTTTCTCAGTATTTCACCTGCGATTTCACCCAGCTCTCAGACATCCTTACTGCTGTGATCCATGCTTACTGTCCATGCAGGCAATCTTAGCTTACAAGCAATGCAAGCTAATTTGGGTTAAGCTTGTCTGTTATGAAAGAGAGCATTTGGGAGAAGCAGCAAGTGTTTTATGCCTTTGAAAAGCACACACAGCTCAATCAAACCAGCAGCAATTACCCACAGTCTTAACCCCATGGCACCATGGTTAACGCCCCAAGTTCCAGAGATCTTTGATACCCACTGAGGATTCAGCATCTCAACTCGAAACACTACATACGGCCATTTGAGCCACAGTTCCCCAAATACCACACTGAGACTCAGCTTTAGAATTAGACTACAACCACGTGCTGAATCACATCATGTCCTTTGCAGCATGTTTTCCGTTTAATATTTAACCCTTCTTCAGCTGGAAGGCGAGAAAGACAAGGGCTGAATGCAGTGTTTGCAATACATTCACTCATGTAATGGGCAGAATGCCTTTTAAACACAGGGCTTAACTTCTGGCTATTGAGAAAGTAGCAGGTCTTTGTAGCATCAAGATTCACTTTCAACTCCTGCCAAGTTCACAGCACTTTCTAGCAACAATTAAGTCTCTAAATGCCAGCTATTGGAGAATATGTACAACTTACTGCATTTCTGCTGGAATGTCCAAGATCAGTCTGCTTTAACTAAAGAATCAGTGCAGAAATAGGACTAACCACTGAGTGTGTGGTGTGTCCACACACAGGATGTTGTGTGTCGATCTTCGCATTTCAAAGAAGGATACAGCAGAGCCAGAGAAGGTACTGGTGGGGATAACTAGGATGATAAGAGATACAGAACAGATTCCATAAAGGAAACAGTTTACAGAAGCTGAGGTCCAAGGTGACAGAGCCTATAAAAACAAAGCCAAGAGGTGTTCAGCTCCTATCCTCTTCCAATAAAAGAGACGGTGAGCACAGGGTGAAACTAAGCAGCATGTCCAAAACAAGAGAAAGCGCTCTTACATTTGTAGTTACACTGTGGAATGACATGCTGTAAGACAGGGTTGATGCTAAAAGTCTATGTGAATGCAGAAGGTCATTATGCAAGTTCTTGGGGAAAGGAAGAAGACAGGGAATACATCAGGGGCTTTATTAGACAGATGGTCAGGAAGTCCCTGCTCCGAGGCAGTCCCTGATCCAAGAAAATGGTGGAGGCAGACTGCACGGAAGTTAGCATTACGCTGTGTTTTCTGTGTTCTTGTATTACCCCAAAGATACCCGTCTGAGGCAGACTACCGGGCTAAAAGGGATCTGTTGCCTGAGCACATATAGAGATTCTTATGTAAAAACCTCCAGACTCTCTCAATATTAGTCACATTTTACAAAGGGGGGTGGAGGTGGATAAAAATGAAGCAACAAGCAGTTAAATGATTTATTTATGGTCATATTACAAGTCTATGAATAAGCTGGGAACAGAAACACTCCCAAACTCCAGTGTCAACTTCTCCAGAATGACAGGCAGCACGAGACTACAGGAAAGTTGCCCCATTAGTTAATTTAATTCTTTTCTGCGAAAAAGGTATCTGTAGGGATCAAGCTATAGAGGCTTAATTTAAGCCAGGGATATGGATAAAGCACATATCCTCTCTATGGAAAGAGGAAAGATTACCTGGGATCCCACATAAAATTGT